GCTTCCAACCTGCACCCACCCCAAGAGCACCCACCCCCCAGACCCCAACACTTCTCTTCCACCCCCCACAGCTCTGCCATCCCACTGCCACCAGAGATGTCAGTGATGTTTCCTACAACCAAAGCTGGGAGCATTCCCCAAACCTGTGCAGGTGGTTTTGGGACAGTTTCTTGCACCACTGAGTACCCCCAATGAGTATCCTTCAGTATGGAGAGGTGATCTTGGCATTGCTTCTCCTACCCAACAGATCCCTGGTGTCACCAGCACCATCTCTTCCTCCCCGCTTCCCATGTGTCCCTCCTCCCTCTGCTCAGCATTTGGAACCTGAGATCCCAGCTGAACAACTCTCAGCCACCAAGAAGAAGTCAAACACAGCCTATTTGTGTGTGATTATTGTCAATAGTACAGCAATAAGGGAAGGGAGGTACCGAAATGAAAACCTGGCTTAGGAACACATCGCACTTATTATGATGGTACTTAATGCTTCCAAAATGTAAATACTGATTTCTAGAGCCTTAAAACCAGCAATGTTTTACAAGATAATGATTCAGCAAGGAAACACTTTCATCTAAGGGCTGGTATGGCAAGATTGGAGTCTGGGAGATGAAATGTTCTGCTGTGAGGGCCAGGTGACAAATAATTAGCTGCAGAGACAGCTCTGTGTAATGACTTCGAGGCAAAACAAACAGGAGCTGCTGCTTTCTGGAGGTGGTTTCAAAGGTTCCCTGCATGTTTGCACATCTGAGCTTGGAGGACAGAGGGCGGGGGCAGCCTTTAATCCGAGATGGAGACAGAGCCACAAGGCGCCTGCCTGAAAGGATGCTGGGATCCGGCTGCTGCAGGACAGCTCCGGGACAGCCGCTCCATCCCAAGGGACAGGAGGAGCACATCAATGGAGAGCATTCGGTGTCACTACAGCTGTTTCTCTCCTGACACCTCAGAGTGCCTAGCAGATATTCCCTGCTCCCAAGTGAGGCTCCCTGACAGCTGAGCATTGCCCTCAGCACCGGAGGCAGCGCAGGGAGGGGGGATGAGGGCAGCTCCCACTGCAAAGCACTGACACTTTATTAAAGCCAGGTATTTAAGTCTGCGTTTGCTAGGGGGTTTATGAGTGTCATTGTCACCAACGTTTCTTTCTGCTTTAAAGAAGATGAGTTCCTGACACCCAAGAGCAAATGTGTGCCAGGGGCAATTAGCAAACACACTGGACAACCTCAGTTCCTGTCAAGAAACTTCCACCCAGCCCTGCCAGGAGAGTTATTACCTCCTGTTCCAGGAAAGCCTATTCCTGTCTCTGAGCATGCTGTCCTTGCCCCTGGGTCCTCACTCACTGTCTCCTTGCTGCCTTGACAGAGAAGTCAGGTCCCTGTGTTAGAAATTTGGAGGGACCTCTGGAAGCCTCTGCTGGCTATTCTGACAGCATTACAGCTGTACAGCTGTATCAGCACCTTCCAAAAGTGGGCTGACAAAGGAGTGAGCATCAGAGGGACTGATGTTTCTTCCCCCATCCCTACAAACTCTGTCAGATCCCAGACACAGCAGAGTTGCAGCCAAGGCTGCACTGGGGGAGGCACATGCCCAGACTGCATCAGATGAGAGTTGTTAGGTCAGGATAAACCATCATCTGGACACACTGGACACATTCTGACATCTGGGCACACTGTTTTGGAAACACAGGAAGGCACCTGTACCTGTTCATGTGGGATGGCTGAAGCAGTCACTGCAGGTGAGGATACCTGTGCAGATGTTGACTAACAGCTGGACTTGTGGCCATTCCCAACACATCAGGTTCTTCTCCGAGGTCTTTGAGCTACAGGAGCTCTTTATGTGCCTGTGCTGATCCTTCCTTGGCTGGTCTCTACCCCTTTCAGTTCTCAGCTGAAGTAACTTTTCTGAAGATTAGCGCTTCAGCGTTCTCGACTCAGGCTGCATCCTTCTATTTAGCACGGGAAGAGGGAACCAGACTAAAAAACCAGGAGACCCAGTTCTGATATGGGCCAGCTCTTGCAGGAATATCTATAAACACCATCACTGAAGCCCTTGCAAGCAGAAGGGCATCCCCCAGAGCAGGCAGCAGCAGCGTTTCAGCTCCAGTAGCTCCATTCTGGGCACCTCTGACTTCCTGTAGCCGAGATCCACCCTCACTACACCTCCCTGTGTGCTGAGGAGATCTGTACCTCAAAACCTCATGGCTGGACTGGGAGGGGGGGAAAGGCCATCAGAGGCTGATGAGCAAGGGTGGACACATCTCCATGCCCTTGATCAGCACTGGGATATTCCAGGAGCTTAGGAAACAGCCGCCTGCTGGCTGAGACAGACTGACGGGAACTGTGGGGTGAGGACAGCATTTCCAACTCTGAAGGGAAGAGGCAACAAAGGGAGGAAAGAAGTCACTCCAGGAGACACAAGGAAATTCAGCAGATGGCTGAACATGGAAGGAACAGAGCAGGAGCCACTCCCAGGACGAGCAGTGACAAAACTTTTGGCATGTGTGTCTCCTTTTTCTGCTTTCAGGACCTGCTATGGGAGAGCCCCAAAGCCTCACACAAGAGCAGGGTGGCTCCAATCCTGCTGCCACGGCTCAGGGCTTTGGTGGCAGGTGACTCAATGCCTCAGAAGCCAGAAAAGGAAAAGCAGAAGCACAGTCAGTTTGCTCTGGCACATGGGAGCTGAAGGACCAGCCACACACTTCCAGACTTCTCTCAGCTCACCAGTCTCATTGCACAGATGTGTCCAGGAACCACTACAGCTCAGCTCAGCTCAGCTCTGGGAACCAGCTGCTTCCCATGCTCTGGCTGTTTGCCACCGCCTTGCCCAGGGCTTGGAGAACTGTGAATCTGGGCTGTGGAGCTGCTGCAGAAGAGCTGAGCTGCCTCAGGTCCTTGGCAGGGCCACCCAACCTCTGGCATTTTCCAGCAACCTTTCTCTGCTGAGAAGACCAGTTCCAGCCCTGCCAGAAACTGAAGGGCTCCACCAAGAGCACCCAGTCCAGCCTTGCAGATGGGTTCCAACAGACAGTGTGGTATCAACTGGTGGATCAAAATGCCAGATGGGATGGGGGCAGTGGTACCAGGCCACATCACGGCCACAAACTTACCCATCTCAACCCCAAAACAGCCACTGAGGGGTGTGAATGGGCTGGCCACTAACCAAAGTCACAGTGGGATGACCAGCCAAGTCACAGCTGCTGGGCCAAACCATGGAGGTCCCGTGGCCTTGTGGAACAGAGAAATAAACACCCATAAAACATCCTGTACCTACAAGAGCTGGCAGCCCCCACCCTTCAGCAAGATGGGAAGTCCATCAAGGTAGAGAAACGTTCCTCGTTTCTCAGAGATGAGTTATAAACACAGCGCCATAAATTGTTGCTACCAACTGCCAAAGCCACAGGAAATGACAGGAAATCTGAACAGTAAGAGCTCTTTACAGATTTTCTCCAAATCTCCTACTTCAAGCCTCCCCAAAGCTTCAGCTGGAACCGAGACATGGGAGACACTTCAATCTGTTCTAAACCTGCTTGTCAAAACAGACTCCTCACAAACACAGCACAACACTCAGGAGCACCAAAATCCTGGACAGCTGTTGGCAGAGGTCACAGAAACACAGCCATGTGCCCTTTGCCAAATGTTGTTGTGGCATCCACAATGACTCCATAACCTCCTGTGATATTCCTCTGATCTCCCAGAAAGCCATGTGGGATTAAACAGATATTCTGTATTTCCAGAAGTCTTTATCTGCCTGAGGTCTTGGAAAGCTGATGAGCCACACTGCCTTGGGGTGAACAGGCAGAGGAGCTCCCTCAAACCAGAATTTCAGTAAGAACCCTAGAAGCTAGCACTGAGTTTTTAAAAACTCTTGGTGGCATAAAGAGGAATCAGCAGATAACTGAAGAACACACACACAGCTGACACTCTCCCACCACAGCCAGCGAGCAGGCAGATCCGTACAGCATTCCCTGACACAGCCTGTCACCCCTGGTGCTTCCTCTGAAGCCAAGCCTAGCTCAGACCAAGGATGCTGCCACACTGCTTGCACTGCTGGGATGTAGCACTGCAGGAATGCTTGGGAAAGCAGCAAAGAGTGAGCAAGAGCAGAATGACAGTGAGCTTTGGAGAAGAAATATCCTCAACTTCTGAATTTTCCAAAGCCATGCTCCCCTGACAATCCTGCCCATCAGAGCACTGTCCCACAACTTCAAATCCACCTATGTTTTTTGTTTGGTTGGTTTCTTCAGAAGACCTTCATTTCCCCAAGCAAATCAGGAGCAACACAAAGTTCCACAGTGCTCAGCAGCACAATACATATTTCAGTACCGGGGCAGAGCCCAACCTCTCAGCAGGGCTTTTAACAGAGTCTGCCATTATCCAAATGACGGTGGGAACAAACCTGTGCTGCCAGCAAGCACAACCTTCTTACCTGGAAGGTGCCAAGCAGCAGCAAGGTTTTGTTACCTAATCCACGCACCAAGTAACCAACAGCTTGTGTTGGTGAAGTGGTTTGCAGTAACCTTCTCATGTCCATAGCTCTAAAAGCCCCTTTTAGGGGTCTGCCCTGCTCTCCCCCTGCAGCTCACAGAGGTGTGCCAAGCACAGCGGGTGGAAGACAACGGGCACCAGCGTCAATACGCAGCTGTGGGAGACGCTCTGAGATCAGCCCATTGTGACACACAAGGAAACACTTCGATTCTCCAAAGCAGCTCAGCTGTGCAAACCAGGAGCAGAGGGAGCCAGAGGTGGGAAAGGTCACCCGTGCACCCCCCTCTCCCGGCTCTGTCCCCAGGCTCAGTCAAGCTGTCACGGCTCCTTCTGACCTGATGGAAGGATTTGCATATGCCCTGAAGCCAGCAAGACTGACAGCTCTTCCACTGTTATCCTCACTTGTGTAACTGCAGCAGCTATTCTTGTACACTGAGATGTCTAATCTTAGCAATGGAGCTGCTGGGTAATATGGACCAGCCGGGAATTTCCATGCAATTACTCACCACTGCTACTGGCACTTACTTTGGCTGGTAAAAGTCCTTCTTGTCCGCTGACCCCAGGCTCTGCAAGACACAAAAGACAGATGTATTTATTTTTTTAACCCTTTGCCAAGCAAGTATCACTGATGAGGATGTGTGGGGAAGCACGTGTATGTTATTTTCCTGCCCGATGCGTCTTAAGTGTGCTAGCTGGACAGGACAGCTTGGACCTCCAGCCGCAGGCAGCCAAAGATGTAAAAATAGAGCGTTAAACTAGAGGTGAGAGGATGCATTAGATCTGAACTCAATGTACTCAGGCATATCTGTGTCTCCTGCAGAAGTGTGGTACCTTGTGTCAGGAGGCAACCCAAGTCCTTTCAAATTTGCCCAGCTGGAAAGAGGACTGAGTGCAGCGTTTGGTGGGTTTGGTGAGCCACCACCACCTGCAAAGACTCTCTGGCAGGTCAGGGGCTGAGCCCCAGGCCCACAGTTCCTGCCAGGAGCAGGACAACAAAATTCTTCTGCCAAGAATACCACATCAGTCCCCAAGTACCTGCAAAACTGGGAAGCAGAGACAGCCCCGATGCTCGCTCGGGTTCCTGTCCCTCCAACTCCAGCCCCAGCATGATGGAGTAGAAGTGTGAGAGCACCACAGATGGGCTGTGCCATGGTCCCCTGTGAGACCCCAGTGAGGCCAAGCCTCCCCCTGGGGCCACTGTGGGCTATGGGCAGTGCACAGACCCCACCTGGGGTGCATGGCCAGGTGTGTGCATAGCACACACAGAGCAGGTGCACAGCTCCTCACGCCGTGAAGTGGGGCCGTGTGCCCCACACACATCCCAGTCTCTCCCCCAACACCACTTGTCCACAGCAGGGACTGGCCCCCAGCCCTGGCCCCAGTGCATTGAGCCCCCTGAGCACAGAATGGGACCTGCACCACAGGCTGTGCAGCCAGGCTGTGCCAAACACAGTGGCATGCTCATGGGACAGACAGACACGGACCCACCAGACCTGGGTGTCACCAAAGCTGCTGCACTGCCACAGCTCTCGCCTTCTTCTCCTCCTTCTCTTCCTCTTTGTCCTGGGGGTGATCCTTGTCCGTGCACCTTGTGGGGTGGGGGGCAGTGAGCAGCAGTGCGGGGTGGCCCCGCTGCTGTCGCTGTCCCCGCGTGTCGGTGTGTGCAGCTCGCACAACCGCCTGGGCTCCGGGTGCTGTTGTAGTTTTGCTCTGTGGTTGCCAGGCAATGGCGAGCTCCAACTCGAAACAGCGGGAGCAGCGGGACGAATGCTAATCAGGCCTGCAAGAGCTATCCCAAAGCTTCCCTTCGCCAAAAGCCAAACAGAGCTCCCACCAAAGTCAGCGGGAAGAGGAGAACCCCAGCTTTGAAGCAGGCAGGGATCCATTGTCACCAAAATATAACCAAAAGGGAGCTCTGGACAAGCCAGCAAGATGGGGATGTGGTTCTGTGGTGGGTAGCCCTCTCCACAGCATGGAGATGTTGGCTGGTCACCAGCACAGTGGGGAGGCTGCAGCCATCCCACGGCACAGGGTACGCCAGTCTGCATGTGTGACATCCTCATGCTCAGCACAGGGCACACAGAGTTCTGGGGTTAGAGCTGGGATCACACAAGCAGCAGCTTCCCTTTGGGGTGAGAAGCTCATTGGGAATGGCTGGAGCTGTGTTAGGGCAGGCTCAGGCTGGATCTCAGGGAAAGGTTCTTTCCCCAGAGGTGCTGGCACTGCCCCGAGGCTGCCAGAGCTCCAGGAGTGTTTGGACAGCGCTGCCAGGGATGGACAGGGTGGGATTGTTGGGGTGTCTGTGAAGGGCCTGGAGTTGGACTGGATGATCCTGGTGGATCCCTTCCAACTCAGGAAATTGTGTGATTCTGTCGTTCTAAGATGTCACCACAGCTCAATATCCAAGACCTCTGAGCAACCCCACCAGGTGGAGATGGGGACAGCCCGTGGCTGTTCCTGCTGCTTCTCTGATGTCACAGAAGCAAGAAGCTTCAGCAAAGCCCCACAGATCAATGGCCAGACACCAAATTGGGCCGATCCAACACCAGCACAACCTGCCCAGATAGGTGGTGAAGTCTCCATCTTTAGAGACATCCAAGACTCACTGGACATGGTCCTGAGTGTCCAGGATAATCTAGGGTAGGTGATCCTACACTGAGCAGGGGATTGGGCTGAGAGATCTCCAGGAGATTCCCAGATCTCCCAAACCACTCCATGCATTCCTGAGATAGCAGAAAAATGAGCACAGCAGTAACTACTCAGGGTGATTGATGGGAGCTGAGTGATGGGAGCTGTCAGCCTCACAGGCTCCCAGCTACCTCCTGCTGCTGCTCAGGGTGCTGGGAGCTCCCAGCCATCCTGAGACAGAAGGAGAGAAGCATCACCCAGTTCCGAGTGCCTGCGAGCCCCACGCGGCAGCGTGAGTCACCCTCCGGCGGGACCCACTGCTGCTCCTCGCTTGCTCACTTCACTGATGACTCAGGGCTGAGGAAGCACAGTTTAAGCCCCTTAATGAAATAATTCTTATCAGCTTGTCTTTCTAAAACAAACACCTCAAGCAAGGCTTGCACCCATCTCCACCCTCTCCTCCTGAGACATTGAGGTCAGGGACTGTGGCCATGGGCAGAGGGACCCGTGGGGGCATGAGCAGCCCCTGCTGCCCTGGCACGTGGCACTGGGCAGGGCAGCCACCAAAACTTCCCAGGATATGCACTGCATCCCTCCAGTGCCCAAGCAGGGCCAGGAGAGGAAGGTGGGACACAAGGGTGCTGTCCCAGATGATGAATGCCCCATCCCAGGAAGTCTCCAAGGGCAGGCTGGACAGGGCTTGGAGAAACCAGGGATAGTGGCAGGTGCTCCTGGCAAGGGGTGGGACAGGATGAGCTTTAAAGTCCTTTCCATCCCAAACCAGTCCTTGATTCTATGAATCTGGGCCAACAGGAGCACTTGAATTTATCCGTTTAATTTCACTTTTCAGGCACTAACTAAATAATTTTGTGAGTTATACAATGTAGGTAAGATAGCAGCCCAGATTCCCTAGGCCAGCTCATCTCCAGAGCCAGCCCTGCTGGTCCCTAGTCAGAATTAGCACAACATGCTGCAGACAGAAATGATGAGTGATTTAAAGGAGTCTGCTGAATTCCAAAATTCAGCCATGCTGGGGAGATAACAGACCTGGGGCTGGAAACAAGGATGTTCATGGACAGACCAAGAAGAGATATTGTTTTATTTATTTCTTCCCACCAGCATGCATCAATCCTGTTGTACTTTTTCCTCTCGTAAATGTTGCCAAGCATAATCTTGGCTCATCTTTTTTTCTAGGCAGTGTCCCTGGGAGAACAAAGTTATTAGCAAGGTTGAAGAAGCCTCATGCAATTATTTAGCAACTACACCAAAATAATCCCCAAAGACCGGTGGCTGCTCACAGGTTGCAGCTTTCTAAGTCATTCCAATAAAATCTGGCTCAGTAACTCCCAGTGTAATCAATGCCCACACAAACAAACTAAAAACAAACTAGAGGAAAACTGAGGGATGAGTGATTTTTCCATGCTAGAAGAGGATTCTGCAAAACCAACTCAGGAGCCATCGCTGGTTCCAGGCTGTGCTGCCACGCTGCCATTGTCACCTGCTGGGACCTCAGTGTGCCTGAGCTGCACTTGGAGCTGTGCTGGACAGATTCCAGGGGGGTTTGGGCATGGGCAGGAGGTGCTTGACCCCCAGGGCAGGGCAGGGTTTGGGGACCACGGCTGCACAGCCTGTCTCCCCCATCCCGGCTGTCACCCTGGATCCTGATGGTTCTGCTCCCAGGCACAGCCATTCCTCAGACTCCGTGGATCTGCAACATGCTGCAGCTATGAGTAATCAGGAGGTGATGCCTGACTGTCAGAAGGGGAATAAAATTCAGAGCCTGGGATGTGACTGGTTGTTTGGGAGGAGGAGGCAGGAGATGGCAGCCCCCATCACAGCTCACAGCGTCCCCCCAAGCAAGGGCTGGAGCGGGGCCAGGCTGGCTACTCCATGCACCCCATCTCCCCCCAGCCCTCTGGCAAGAGCTGGCTGAGGGCTCTGGGAATGCTGCCTTCTCTCTGTGGACTCCAGCACCCATCCCACCTGCCATCACCAGCCCCCAAAACTGCACTCCTCAAACAGCCACAGCACTGCCAGCACCCCAAGCAGCCCCAAAACATCAACTGAGGCCAGATGAACCCTCAAATCCTAAAACCTGAATTTCAGGCTGGATGAACCAGTTTGCTGAACTGAAAATCACAGAGGTAACTCCTGCCTTCAATGTGGGTCCCAGTCTAGAGGGAGCTCTGGGCCACCAAGCTGTGGGCAGCCCAGATTCCCAAAGGCCATCCTGGATGGAGAGCAGATCCTGCCTGTGTGCTGAAGTATGGAGAACAAGGAATGGACAATCAGGGTGTCCAAAATGACTCAGCAAACAAATCCGGTGGCAGCAGAAGGGTCACGTGGGGCAGGCAGTGCCCAGACAAGAATGGCTGGCTCAAGGAAAGGAGGGAAGAGGACACAACCCACTGGAATCACAGAAGGGTCTTTGTCAGCAGATGGTATTTTGGCAAGGCCAAAGCACCTGTGGGGCCATGGGAGGGGTGTGAGCCCTCAGCCCCAGCCTCTCACCATTGTGATCCTGCCTCTTCCTGCCTTGAGTGCAAAGGATCCAAGGAGGGGGTGGTGATACCCCCCCAGACCCTCCAGCTAGGGGAGGATGCCAGTGGCTCCAGCACGTTCATTCTTCCACAGCTTCCTCATCCCAGCCAGCTCAGAGTGGGACCCTGACCCAGCTCTCACACTCACCTGCAAACAGTCCTGACCCTGTGCACGCACATCCAAGCAGTGAAGCACATCCAAGTTGGGCTTTGAGTCCAATAAAAGGTGAAAAACAAGCTGGAACCCAGAGAAGAGGGGGTTTGGACCACTGAGGTGGGAAGGAGAAGGGAAACATGGCTATGCACACACGGTACACTGAGGTAATCCAGAGAACAGAACCAAGGCCTTGCAGCCACCCCCCAGCAGAGCAGCAAACCCCACATTTGGGAGCTGGGGAGCTCCCGGTGTCCTCCAGGCACCTGCCCAAGACACCACAGACCCACTGGGGAAGAGGGGCTGCGTTTCAGTGTCTCCCTGATGCCACAGCCTTGCTCAGACACCAGCCTGCCCCCAGCCCCTCACAGTGCCAGGACATCCTTCTGTGAGCAGGTGGGCACCACCCAGCTCCAGCTCAGCTCAGCAGAGCCTCAATGGCAACTCTGGTTGCTCACCCACTCTCACAGCTGAGACACAGGAGGGGAGGTCTTGGTGTTTTTCTAGGGCCTGAAACACAAACATAAACCTGGCTCTTTGGAAAATGGGGTGACCCTCAGAGGGTGCTGGCACTGCCCAGGCTCCCCAGGGAATGGGCACGGCCCCCAGGCTGCCAGAACTCCAGCTCTTAGGTCCAACTTGAGTCCAATCCCCGTGGGTCCATTCCAGGGTATTCCATGATTCTGTGATCCCTCTTCCTGAGCCCTAGGGCAGTGATGGGATAGGCTCTCAGGGACAACAGCCCCATCACTGGCCCCTCACTCCAATGTTTCTGTAGCTCAGCCTGGCCCTGCCAGCAGGTTGTACACTCTTCAGGACCAGGCCAAGACAGAACAGTGTCAAATTTCCCAACATCATTAATTCTGTTTCCTCTTCATTCTCCTCCAGCTTGGAGCTCACCCCTGCAGGTTCACTCCATAGTGGAGCAGGAATCTGTTGGAGCAGGACGAAGGAGCCTGGCCCTGATTACACAATCCATGGCTCCAGGGACCCCCCACCATCTCTCTACCTCAGCAATTACACCCACACAGCTCGGCTGGCTGCAGCACAGACCCTCACAGTGACTTGGGGTTCCTCATCAGCTGTGAAAGGAACCCCAGCTCCACCCCAGCCTGCCTTCCTGCAGGAGGAAAGGCGAGTCTGCTCATGAGCATCTGCAGCACCCCCATTAAACAAGTCCATTTGCACTCCCTCCTTGCCTTCCCACCCCTTGCAGCATCTTCCCAGCCCTGCTTTCCCCAGCTGAGCCTCTCCCCAGCCACGCACCCCGTGCCAAGGGGAGCTCACCCACAAACCCCTCGCAGCTCACACCATGCTAAGGCTGACCCAAGCTTCAAAGCATTTCTTTACTGAGAGCTCATCCAGGAAACTTTGTTTTCTCCACTCCTATTGTACTGCTGCATGCCTGTAGGAATTCATTCATGCACAGACAGCCACGCAGGCACGCACAGGCTCTGTGTTGGAGTCTCCCTATGGAAGGAGCTCCCGGAGCTCTGCCGGGGCCGGCACAGCCAGACCCTGCACTTGCTGCTTCTCCGGATGGAAGAACTTGTCAAATTGCTGGCAAAACCACGGGAGCTTGTAAACCTGCCAGCTCCACAGCACCCAGAGGGACACTCATGCACAGGCCTGGGCACTTTGGCTCCGTGGTGTCGTTCATCCAGTCCTGAGGAGCGGCAGGGAGGGTGCAGGACATGCCAGGGGAGCACAGGCTGCCCAGTCACCCATCACCAGCACTGCCAGTGGGCTGCACACCCTCCCTTCTCCACCTTATTTTTCCTTCTTTTTCGTGATTACAGCCTGTAAACTATTACAGCAGCTTGGAGCACATCGGGAAGGAGCTGTACTTGGGCTTAAGTGTTTGCAGGATCAGGGCTGAGCTGTGGAGCTGAACTTGCTGCTATTTATAGCGGGAAGCCCTGAGCACAGCACGTGCTGGAGGGGAGCGTGGCCAGGCCTGTGTTTCTGCTAAAACCTGGTGGGTTTTTTATTTTGCCTCATTTTGGAGATGTCAGCTGCCTGATCTCATAATTGCATTCATGTGATGCCTGGTATTTACAAATAGTTTTGTCATTTTTTAATATTTGGGCATACCAGGTCATAGAATCATAGAGTGGTTTGAATTGGAAGAGACCTTAAAGCTCATCCCATTCCATCCCCTGCCCTGGGCAAGGACACCTTCCACTAGACCAGGTTGCTCCAAATCCTGTCCACCCTGACCTTGAGCACTTCCATCCTCCTACATGTTTATGCTGGTTTATAGGTAAAGTTCCATCTTTCATCACTGGTTTAAAAAATAAGAAAGGCAGGAGAAGCTGGATCCGTGCAGTAAGCTCCCAGCTCCCAGGGCCTGCAGCTAATTAATTACACCCTGTCCTGCAGCATGGACTTTACACACAGCCCTGCGTGCCCACAGCCTGGCTGGGTGTCAACAGCCTGACAGCAGCTCTGCCTGCCAGCCCAGCTAATTACAGCATGGAGAGCAAACGAGGGTGCCCTTCCTGCCCTCCTCTTCCCTCCCTTCCCCTCTCCTCCCTTCCCATCCCTGGTTGCTCTGCTGCCACTGCAGCCTCTGACAAAGTGGACCCAGGGCTGCAACTCGGGCTGGGGAAGACCTTTCCCTGAGACACCCAGGAGGAGCAGTGAGCAGCACAAGGATGAGAGTCTCCTGGAGACTGTGTCAGGGGCTGTGTCCCTCCTGGGCAGGGAGCAGGCCTGCTATCACACCCCCACCCCCACCCTACCCCACTGCAGAGCCAGCCTGCTGG